GGTCCCTTCCGGTCATGGGCTTCCTGGCTTATCTGGCCTACACTAAATGGGGGCACGTTTTCCTGGAGCCTCCATTTCTGCAGCTGCTTCTAGACAAGCAGAGATGGGCAGAAGCCTGGGACAGCCCACATCTGGTGCTGAGCCCCTGTGAACCTTAGCCTCATGGGTCACAAATCACCCCCAGCTCTTCATTGCTACCCAAGGCATTTCTGTGAACTAACTACCAGGTGACTTATTTTCTGTGTTTCGTTTTCCTCACTTTATGACTCACCGTTGGCTAATCACCAGAGCAACTAGAATCATCAGGTATTCATTTCTGTCTCTCCCTGAACCCAGGCTCTGTCAATTAGGGGCACAAACACGTGTAACAGAAACTAGTGGTTAATTACAAAGGCTCTTGATTCATAATGATGAAGTGGACACTGAGTAGATTCTGTGCTGTGGGGTTGCCCTGTAGCCACTATATTCAGTTTCCAGAAAAAGTAGTATGAGTCAATGTAGAGGAATCACTGAAGGTCTGGTGTAGTGGCACCTCTGATGTATGAACCGAATGATGTGTAGGCAGATTGTGGTGGCATCCCTAGATACTGCAGATTCAAATCTAAGTTTTTCAGGTTTCCTACCAATAGTTCAGCATCTCTTTTCACAACTTGTCGCTTCTGTTTCCATTTATTCAAATTGTTCTTGGTTGACTGGCACTAAAACTCCAGTTGAGGTTTTGTTGAAACTGTCATTTATAGAGCTCAGTGTTCACTGCAACTCATCAAGGGTGTCTTTCCTTTACCACCTTGGCTTCCTGTCTCTGGTTAGTGAGTCACTTTGAATTTCCACTCAAGACAAAACCTTTGCTTGCAGAAAGAACACTGTCACCTACAGAAGGGGACCCATGCACAGAGCAGCAGTGAGAGTTTTCTATGGACACTTTGAAAGGGACACTAAAGCCCCACACTGTGACCACCCTGCAGATGACACTGATTTGCCAGCAAAGGAGTCCAGAGTCTCATGTCTACTCAGCGTAAATGGTGTTCACAACGAACCAGGAGCTGCCTACAGCATATGTGACAAGTGTGCCATCCTTACATGCCACTTACATGCTTACAACAGGGTATCCAAGGGGAAAAGCGTACAAGAGCATCATAGACTATACTAACAGATCCCTGTTTTGACTTCCTGTAAGCTGACTTATAACAACTAGTTTTTTTATATTTGTACAGCACACAGGCTGAAGTCTTGAAACCACCCTTCAGACGCTAATGTCCTTATGTCCCTATCCTATACATCTAATAAGAGTTAAAGGATCCCCAGTAATGAATAATCATCACATGATTCGATTAAATACTATAGCATCAATGAAACGGGGTTGCTTTTCAAAACACGAAGCTAAATGGGTTGGAAAGACTTGATACAGGAGCTATGTAGAAGGTTACAGAACATACAGTGTAGAGTTAGAGAAGCTGAGGCAGGAGGATTCTAAGTGTCAGTCTAGCCTGGGGTATGTAGTGAGGCCTTGCCTGAAGAACACAAAAGGAAAACAATGTGTCGATGTGTGTGTCTTTATCCTCATCTATTCCCTTGTGGCAAGGTCTCTCCCTAAACCTGGGACTAATTTTCTCAGCCAGTCTGGGAGCAGCAAGCCCCAGCAATCCTCCTATCTGCCCTACCTGGAGCTAGGGTTATAGGCACTGGCAAGGTGTCTTGGAGCTGGGGTTACAGGCATGTATAGGCATCTGACCTGTTATATGGATGCTGTGATGTGAACTCTAGTCTTCATGATTGCACAGTATATATTTTTAACTGCTGAGTCATCTCTCCAGCCCCCCATATTTTCTTTTTAAACTATGATCTTAAACTGAACATTGGCAGTATTGTATGTCTTGAACTGAATATACTCAGGAATGTGTCCCCCCACCCAAGTGGTTTTCTGTTGGAATATGTATGATTGCCCCACATAAAAGCTCTATGCTTTATTCATTGAAAGAGGACATCGTTTTGGAAACAAATTGCATGCTATTCTTACTTGTGGTAGGCAACGTACCATTTTCCACTCTTGTGTCTTGGTCATGCTGTTTTGGTTTTGCATGCACCAAAATGCAAACCCATTACATTTGGTTACTGAAGCCAGGACCCTTGCAGCATTGTAGGCACAGAGTGAGTTCTAGGACAGCCAGGGCCATACAGAGAAACCCTGTCTTGAAAAAAAAATTGTGATAAGGACGCTCTCCATAACTGATGGCTTCTGGAAGGGTGGGGAAGGACTCATTTTCTTTAAGGGCTGTCCACTGGAGGTTTGACCACACTGCAGTGAGCAGACATTTTTGGAGGGATCACAAATGTGGGGGTAGGACCTGGGAGGACAGGGGAGTGGGTGTGATCAGGGGCATTATGTGCAATTCCCAAATAATAAATAAAAAGATTATGTTGAAAAAAAATTCCAGTGTAGACGGGGCCAGGGCTCCTCAAGTCTGTCCCACCACTATCAGAAGAGCTATTAGCAGTTGATGTCTGCTGAGGAAGGGAGAGTTACTCTGTTTGGGGACTGTGGTTGCTGGCTGGTTGCTCATGACCCAGGGGATAGTCAGGCACTCATGCGCTTATTGTGGCCACACACGTATCAGCAGCACTAATTGGACTCAGAGGGTCACTAACAAAAACTCAAAGAGGACACGAAGCTGGAATGTGGTGTTGGGGGCACTAGAGGGAACTAGAGAGAAGCAGTGGTAGGTAGACGCAGTCAGTGTATTGTCTGTTCTGACTTGTTTCTCTGGCTGTGATAAATCACTGACCAACTAGCTTAAGGAAAAAATGGTTTATCCAGCTTATTGGTCGAGGAAAGCCACAGCAGGAGCTGAAGCAGAGACCATGGAAGGACATTGCTTACTGGCTGGCTTCCCTAGCTTTCTCAGGTACCTTTCTTATAAAGCCCAGACTCACCTGCTCAGGAATGGCACTGCACACAGTGGCCCGGGTCCTTCCATGTCAATTAGCAATCAAGAAAATATCCCACAGATATTCCCAAAGGCTGGTGCGATGAGACCAGTTCTTTAACTGTGTTTCCATCTTATCAAGGATGCCAAGTTGACAACTGAAATTAGCTGTGCCATTGGATAAACTGTCAAAGAATAAAAAAAATACTACAAGAAAAGAAAGAAAAACAAAAAACGAGGAAAGGAATATGACATTTGGTTTATGTTATCTTTACATGTCACAAAGGTTACTCTTGATTTCCTTCCAATAATTAAAAAGTATACAAATCAAAAGCAGAGTGGAGATATCATTTTAAACTCCTGAGATTAAAAAGTGATAATGGTTGGGGCTGGGGAGATGGTTCAGCTGGCAAAGCGTTGGTTGTACAAGCATAGAGCCCCAGCATCCATAGGCTGGAATCCCAGTGCTGGGGACACAGTGGCAGGAAGATCCCGAGATGAGCACCATAGAGTGAGATACTGTCCCATAAAGAAGGTGGACGCTTAATTATACCACCACAGTGGAGAACTATCTCTTAAAGTCTCTAAAACCATGCCTCACTGGCCTGCACCAAGCTCAGCCTTCCTGCCTATGCTGTGTAAACAGTCTGTGTTAGTCAGGTAGAGATATGGTTAGGACGGCTAAGGAACTAACCTTTCAGCTTTATTCAGTTAACCCTTGGAGATAGCCGTGCATCCTAGGTTTGTTTTGAACTTGTCTTATAGCCTCAGATGACCTTTAGCTTCTGTTTTTCCAGGTTCAATTTTAATTTAAAGACTCATGTTTGATGTGAGTGTCTGAATGTTTTTGGAACATGCCACAACTGAAGAATGAATATTGAGAAGTCTAAATGCAGATCAAGTGTTTCAGATAAAGAGTTAGTGTCAAGATTGTCATGCAATGAAGTGAAAATAAACACACACACACACATACATATATATACATATATATATTCCTTTTTTATTTATTTGTATTTATTTTGTAATTCTTGCAATTAAACCCAGGGCCTCATGTTACATTCCCAACCCTCACTATATAAAAACATATATCGATTATGTATTGACATTAATAGTATTTTGAATATATTGAATTGCATATATTATTAAGGTTAATGCCACTTGTTTCTGGTTGTTCTTTCTCTGACCATGACATTTATTGGGTCTTTTCGTCTGCCATGGGCTATGGTGAATGCTTTTGTTTTAAATGTGTCTGTGTGCAGGCTTGGGCAAACCACAGTGTGTGTGGAGGTCAGGGACAACTTTTGGGAGTTGGTTCCCTCCTTCTCCCGTGGGTTCTGGGCTGGATCTCGGGTTGTTAGGTTTGCATCTCAGCTCATTCGGCAGCTGAGTCATCTCTCTAGCTCCCTGACTGTTTTTTGTTTCTTGTCTGGTCATAGTTTGGGAGTAGGGATAGCACCCTAATTCACTCAGATGTGCTCTTTTTTTTCTTTTGGAATTCCATACCTACTGTCCATCACATCTTAGGTTGATGAGCAGCCCTGGCTCCGCCCTCTTAGTCAGGATTTACTAGGCACCTCCTAAGAACCAGTCAATTATTCATTTCATCCTCCTGAAAACACTTTTTATTTTTCCAGTGTCAAAGCCTGGGACCAACGTCCTTAGTCTGGCAGAGTGACACTAGGATGGGGAGGACAGAGAGAGACCTGACTCCAGTTAGCCTGAGCACCATTGTGTTTTGCTTGAAACCCAAACCACAGAGGTCTCTTAACAGGCAACGCCCGGCCAATACTGCCTGGGAGTCATGGCTTTGTAGCCACCAAAGGAAATGTTCTGTGAGGTAGCCAGCTTCATCAGATCAGAGAGAATTTGAATCATGTCACAAGTGAACCCTTTGCTCACCATAATGGGATACCAGCCTGAAAGATGTCTTATTGGAATTGACACTGTTGCTAGAAGTTGTGCCTGTCCTAGACTCAGTGTCAGAGACTGAGCAGGGAGCTGGAGAGTTTTTAAGTATGCTTGCTTCCTGATATGGGTGGATACAATCTCTGTTGTAAATCTGCCTTCGGGGAAGCTCAGTTTCACTTTTGCTCTCAACAATGAAAAGAAACTACTGGCCCAACTGGCTTTTCAGTTCCTTGCTGCTGGGCTGTACCCTTGCACTGGGGAGTCAGGGCCATGCCCTCCACGGAGACCCTGAAGGGTCCCAGCTTTGGCCAGCACTTCTGGATGATGGTGATCTGCACAGTGCTCCTGCAGATGCTCCTGCAAACGCTGTCTGTGGCTATGACTTACGTGTACTTCACTAACGAGATGAAGCAGGTTAGTAGCGAGGTTAGCAGCAGGTGGTCTCCGCAGCACTTGTCTCTCCTTTGCCTCTCTGCTTGCTAGTCTTTGAAATGAAGCTAAGAGCTGTGCATTTATATGTGCCCTTTCTGGTTGCAGACTCTAACTACTCCTGGTGAGACTTTATAAATGTTCAAGTATGACAGACTTCCACGCAGGTGTAGTTACAGAACAGGCTGCAAATAAATGCCACCGGTACATGCAACAGCGCTCCTAGGAAGTTTGTTATCAGCTTTCTAAAGTGTCTGTTAGTATTGTCACCATGCCCCAAAGCTTTCTGCAAATGCTTGGGTTCCTTTTGTGTGTGAGAGAGACAGAGTGAGTGAGTTAGTGAGTGAGTGAGTGAGTGAGTAAATAAGAGAGATGGAGGAGATGGAGGGAGAAAGAGGGATAGGGGAAGAGAGAGAGAGAGAGAGAGAGAGAGAGAGAGAGAGAGAGAGGGAGGGAGGGAGGGGGAGAGAGGAAGGGAGAGAGAGAGGGGGAGAGAGAGGAAGAGAGGGAGAGAGAGAGGAAGAGATAGAGAGAGAGGGAGGGGGAGAGAGGAAGGGAGAGAGGGAGAGAGAGGAAGGGAGAAAGAGAGATAGAAGAGAGAGAGAGAGAGAGAGAGAGAGGGAGGGGGAGAGAGGAAGGGAGAGAGGGAGAGAGAAGAAGGGAGGGAGAGAGAGGAAGAGATAGAGAGAGAGGGAGGGGGAGAGAGGAAGGGAGAAAGAGAGATAGAAGAGAGAGAGAGAGAGAGAGAGAGAGAAGCATGTGATGTGGAGATCAGAGGTCAATGTCAGATGTCTTTCTCAGTTACCATCCAGCTTACTTTTCTGAGACAGGGTCTCTCGTCTCTCACTGAACCTTGAATTCCCTGACTTGGCTAGACTTGACTGTCAGCAAGCCCCGGGGATCTTTCTGTCTTTGACTCCAGAGCCTGGGCTTCTGGGGACCGAACTTGGGCCATCACCTTACACAGCAAGCCTTTAACTGACTGAGCTGTCTCCTAGCCCACTCTCTGGAGTTGCCTGGCCCTTGAGGTGAGGGAGTGATGGAGATTGCTTCAGTGTCTGAGTGTTCCACATTTATTCTTCATACTCTGACTAGTTGTGAGTCCCTGCAGTAACTGCTGTCCTACATACAAGGACATGTATCTGATGAGGAATGAGAACTGCAATTAGTTCTCTCCTTCTACCTTGTAGATCCTGGGGATTGAACTCAGGTCATCGAGCTTGATGACAAATACTCTGTTCCTTTGAGTCATCTTGCTGGCCCCAAGTTTGTATATTTCTGAGGGGGAAAAAGGTATACCTGTAATTATTTTTTAGTTCTAAGTTTACATAGGAGATTGGAGCATAGCTATGTTTACTGGTTTGTGGCAGCATGCCCTGGTTTGTTAACTTCTCCACATCAACAGGTGAGTCTGTCTCTATCCCAGGTGGCTCCACAATTTGCACACATTGCAAGTTGGCCTTATTTTAAGATTGACTTGATCCTCTGTTGACTCACGTATTTGTCTAATTGTGTAATTAAGGTTTTCAAAACTCTGCCAAAAAATTGCAGCAATTTCAAACAAAGTTTAGAATCCCTTTGTTTAGGCATGTCTCCTAAGGGAAGAAAGGATGTGGTGGAGTAAGGATGTGGAGGGAGAGAGACAGCAAAGTGCTCAACACTAGTCCCTCGCATCTGTGACCAACATTGGTTTAGCACCTGCAGGTGCTGAAGGTGACCAGGGAGCAGGGGGATTGGGGCTGAGGCTTCCTCCCTGCATTCCTTTTGTCCTGAAATCATTACTTATACATGAAAATGTCTAGCAAGACCAACACCAAAAGTTGACAATGGTGATCTCTAGAGGGCAGGATAAAGTTGATTCTCATTTTCACTTTTTTTGTATTTTATAAATTTGCTGTGGTGAATGTCATACAAAATATGTAAGTTGTCTTTCCCGCCAGCCGCCTGGGCCCTGCCAAGCTGTGTGAACCCCCAAATAACACACAAGACACTATATTAATTATGAAGCTGTTGGCCATTTGCTATTGTTTCTCATTGGCTAGCTCTGACTTAATTATTGACCCATAATCGCCAATATATATTTTTATAAGGACTTATCTTTCTGAGAACGCAGACTTTGTCCCCTCTTCCCGGGAATCACATGGCAACAGCTTCCTTCACTACATTTCCCAGAATCCTCCTGGACTCCTAGTCCCATCTATCTTGCTTCCCTATTGGCCAACAGTGCTTTATTTACATATACACAGGACTTCCCCATCAGTCAGATATGGTTTTTATTGAGGTTCTCAGTGCTTAGAGTCTAGGAACTTGGGCAAGCAAAGCAAGAACTCTGCCATTGAGCTATGCAGTGACAGGGTTAGAACCCAGGGTCACACATGCTAGACAAGAATTCTTCCAATGAGCTAGACCCCAATCCTCTGTTTTTGTTTTCTTCTGTTTTGTTTGATTTGTGCAGACTGGGCTTGGATGTACTCATTAGGCAAACCCTAAACTTGTAATCCTCCTGCTTCAGCTGAGTTTACAGGCCTATGCCAACAGGCATTGAGAAATAACATGCTGTAAATCCAAGCTATTAGGAAAACAAAACCAAAGCTGAAAGAAGAAATCTATGGGGACTGCTTCCTCCCCGTCTTGGAACCTTTTCTTGTGCCCCTCCCTTTCCTGATTTGGTAACAGCATGAGGTGTGAGAATGCTCTGAATGGTTCGTAGGAGCCGTGTGGTAGGCATGAGAGTTATAGTATTGGGTAGTGGTCACTGACAAGGGTAAGGACTTCGTTGGCAATTATGAGGCTATTGTAAACATTGGCTTCCAGTCCTGGCACAACACCTTCAGCATGTGTAGTCTTCTTAGATCAGTCCCTAGGTTTTGCGAACCATTGATGAGGCAGGGTACAGATTCCTAGTGGCATCATGGAACCATCCAGAGTAGGAACCATGTAATAACTGCAATCTACTCAGCTGCAGGGGCTGTGGTGAAGGCGCAGAACATTTCCCACACACCAGAGGCTCGGCTGCTTTTGTTAAGATGTGGACATTTAAATGGATTCCTCTCCCTACTTTGAGCACAGGCAACTTTCCAGCTTTGGAGGGAGAGCCGCACTGTCTCAGAGCTGGAAGAAACCTCATTACCACAAAGGTCTAGTGAGAAAGTGCAAGCCAGTGAAAGCAAGAGCGAGGACACACCTGCTAGGGATGGGTCAGCGAAGAGCACCCTGAGCCAAGTGCTAGTCCTTACCCTGCTGCCACTTCCAACTGCTTGATTAACATCAACGGACAACAGGCAACATGCCTACTTTCAAAACCTCAAACTACTCATGGCACCCAAACTCCTGCCAATTTTCATCACTTTTCGTTCTTTCAGCTTCCAAATGGGTAGCAAGAAAAGGGACGTGTTCATCACAGTTATATCCTATCTCCACCCAGCTGCAGAACAAATACTCCAGAAGTAGACTGGATTGCTTGTTAAAGGAAGATGAGGATGCCTGGAGCCCCACTGAAGAGGAGATCCAATACTGTCTGCAGACTAGGAAGCAGCTGTATCAGCTCATCGAAGAGGTAAGTACTCAGCAGGAATGTGAGGCCAGGGGACAAAGAATTTTCAGACTTTCAAGTCTGGAAACCTGTGTTTTGCAGAAGAAGAAACCAAGTCCTAGAGGGCTTAAGTGATTTTCCCCAACATGGTGTAATAGCTGATATTAGGCAGCAGGGAAAGCCGGGGCTGACTTTAGCTAGCTGCCTCCTGGGGTTTGTATCTTACTCTGGGAGCGCGCGAGCACACACACACACACACACACACACACACACACACACACACACACAGAGAGAGAGAGAGAGAGAGAGGGTGTGGTTGTCCAGTGTCTCATTGTTTGTTTGTTTTTATTTACTTTTATTCAGAAGACAAAAGAGGCCAAATGATGTTTTCTATTCATCCCACATGGCTGATAAATACACATTTTGTGTGTGTGTGTGTGTGTAGAAGAATACTCTGAGAAATCAGAGGTGAGGTCATCTCAATTCACTGTTGACAAATGACAAGGTAGAAAATGCATCTGTTGATGCAAATTGCTTCACTGGGATCCATGGAAGAAATCTCAGGTTGACTAACAGTTCATTTTACTGAATGTGGTTAACTGATTTTACTTTTAGATTAAGTCAGATCAATGTCTTCTCTGCCTGCCTCCTTTTTTAGGAAGCTGGCATTTACAAATATTTACCTCCTGGCTTTCTGAGAAGGTCACATGGAGGCACCAATATTAAGAATACTCTGCAAGCTAAGAGACATCACCATCTAAGGATATGGTGGGAATTCCCAGTGTAGGAGGAGGCTGTATGCCGAACAGCCTTGGGAGTCTATTATTTGTTCCACGGAAACAGTGCTGTTCCAATGACCAGGGTTCCAGTGGGTGACTTGAGTGGTATTCACAATAGCATCCAGACATCACCTGGAATGTAGTTTGTAAGCCCAATGAATTAGTCTTCCACCTGGACTGGGTACCATTGCAAACAGCTGTACAACAACATCTGTGAAGGCGGGTGTACAGGAGGTTTCACAAACGCCTCTAGAGCTTTGGACAGTTCTAGAGGAACCTCAGACATGGGACTCCCAAAGTCCTTGACTTAGGGGTTCAGTGGGTCATCAGGAAAAGAAACTTGAACTAATCTGGAGGCTGGGGTGCTACCGGACACAAAGTCTGGAGTCTGGGGTGCTCGTGACTGCAAAAACCAACCATGGAGAAGAAATAAGGGAAAGGTGATTATGGATTTTCCATGTCACTTTCTGGAAATTCCCACGCACCCACCCAGACTCATCCTGGACAAACAGAGTCGAGAGAAACTAGGAGGGAGAGGACACGGCAGGTGGATGTGAGTGTGTGAGAAGAGTCCATACCCCACTCTAGGTGTGACAAGCCTTCTGTGTCCTGTAAACATCTGTTCATTTTGAACAGCATCCCACCAAATTCAGAGAGTAACTCCCAGGGAAGGAACCACCATTATGCTTTTACACGTTTTCAAACAGATAAAGCCATTTCAGGTCAGATCAGTTAAGTTACTTAAGGCTTCCTAAGGAGCTGTAGAGAAGCCTTGACTCATGGTCACCTGGCCTGCTTGTAGTCATTCTTGTAGAATGACCCTTCCTTGGTTTCTTGCTTTCTTCCTCTCTCTATTCCTACTTCTCTTTTCTTTCCTTCCCTGTCTCTCTCCCTTCTTTTCCTTTCTCCCTCTTCCTTCTTTGCTTCCTGTCCTAGAATAAGAGAAAGAAAGAAAAACAGAAAAGAGAGGAGGAGGGTTAAAATCCACTTTTCCTCCTTGCCCTTTCTCCAGAGCCCATGGGACCAATGCCAGTGAATGGTCACAACTATCGTGGAGTCGAAGCAAAGCGAGACAGAGCTTCTACTTTCTGGCACAGGCACACAGATGATGTGTTTCTGACATTTACAGTGATGTGGCAGTGATGGCACAGAAATCAAGAGTGACAAAGGATAAATGGGGGTTCAGCAGTCATAATGACTCAAGCCAGGCTCTGCTCCACAAACAGAAAGACTCCGTGTTCCCTTTTGTACTGGTTTTCTCCATTGGTTACCACAAGGGGAGGGGAATGTCATAAGTTTAGCAAGTTGTGGGACTTTCTTTGGGCATGAACGTAACATTATCAAAAGAAGAGAATAACACGGTGAGGCTAAGTCAGACATTCATAGAGTAAACATATTTGTGGCCATCTATGCTTTTTGTCTTGCTTACATCCTATGGTTCAGATTTAGCGATTTGCTTTCAGCTGCTGGGCACGCACGCATGCACACATGCACATACACACTCACACACACACACACACACACACACACACTCCACAGAGAATGAAGAGACATGGTTATTGTCAGCTTCATGGAAACCTATGACTGACCTAGGCAGTATAGTTGTGCCCTTCCTTCTCAGCTTATCCAAGTGACAAACAGAACTTTCAGACTGTCCTTTGGTCATGGTATCTCAAGATCCTCCCAGATCCCCCATAAATACCTATGCTTGGGTAAAAGAAGTTCTATATTGATATACCACATAAATATCCTGTCATGTGTCAGAAAGAAAATCTAGAAGTATGTGTATTCTGTTACATTTTTAGGGGCATTAACAAGCTTTATTCAATACTGTTTTTAGGTGTCTTTGAGAACTGTTAAGGAAACCACTTCTACAGTTCAAGGTAGTTATATTTTGTTGTTATTTTTACTTGTTAAAGCTGAATACCTTCCCAGTCTCTACTTGCTCCCATTCATACATACCAGTTAGGACCTTTTGCCCACTGTCTTACCCTGTTTATTGATTTTCTTTGTACTAAGGACTGGAAAGCTCGGGATTAACATTTCAGCCTACAAACGGTCAGAACTTTATTCTTTCTTTATCTTATTCTTTCCAGCATGATGTTCCATTTGACTTCAATTTCTTCGCTTATTTAATTATTTCGCTTTCCAATATACTGTAAATAAATCATATTAAATATTATCTATAACTTGGCAGGAAGTAAAATAGATAAAATCCTCCAAAAATTACTCATCTTTTCTGCCTCTGACCACAGTGCCTTTCTTCCCCTCCAAAGCATCTCACTGAGTCACTCCTTCCCCAGCAAACTCTTTACCTACCCTGGATCTCAGCTGTGGTCTCTACACTCCTTCCCCAGCAAACTCTTTACCTACCCTGGATCTCAGCTGTGGTCTCTACACTCCTTCCCCAGCAAACTCTTTATCTACCCCGGATCTCAGCTGTGGTCTCTACACTCCTTCCCCAGCAAACTCTTTACCTACCCCCGATCTCAGCTGTGGTCTCTACTGCACTCCACACAAGCTCAGCATCCTGCTAACAGCCAGGAGGTTTTTCTTCACACAGTTCTCATTGTATCCTCACCCAGGCTGGCTTATTTAAGCTTCCGTCTCGCTCCCCACCCCTGGCCGGGGTTCCTTTCACTACTTCATGGCTCTTTTGCTCACAAATTTCTCTTCTTGGAACATTTCTAAGTTCCCCTGAATCTCATTATTTCCATCACACATCTTTTGGTTATATCATTGTATTTTATATATAATTTTATCCATGTACTTACTGTCTTCTCTTCCGTTACATTGAAGTGATTGTGAATAAAAAAAACAACAAAATAGAGAGTGGAGGGAGAGAGAACTATTTTTAAAAATTATCTTATAAGTTGTGTAGCTAGCATTTTCTCAGAGTGGCTATGGTCACAACACAGCTATTGTAAGCACTTTGGAAGCCAATTCTTTTTGTTCTAATACTTTGGAAATTGGAAATTGGTTCTTGTGGTTTTAGTGCTGTACAGTATATGAGAACCCTAAAAAATTCAGGGGCAGTTTAAGTCATAATATTTGGTAAACTGCTAACAGTCATGTATTCAGGATATTGTTGCACTTGCCTGGATGTTTTTGTGGAGAATGTGGATGAAACATCTATATTAGAACACAGGACCAGGATAACACTGTTTACCAGACCATGTGACCCAATTTGTGCTGGTTACTAATTTTCTCTAATAAGCATTAAGTCATATCACCGAAAATAAGTGTCATAATGAAATATCACTTTATACAATATATGCCAATAAGAAGACATGGAAGTAGAAGGAGGACTATTTGCAAAAAGGGGGAGGACCAGTGGGAGGAGGGAGAAGAAGCAAGAAGGTGAAGGGAGTGAATATGGACAAAAGACAAAAATGTTACAACGAAACACATTATTTTGTGTACATGCTAATAAAGTAAAAGAAAAGGGGAAGTCTCTGCACGGTTTATAGACCTCTGGGATCTGGGTGAACAGAACAGCAGAAGGCAGAATGTATATGTCAATCACTTCCCCTCCTCCCCAGTGATCTACTCTGTGATGACTCTCTAGCCATATGGCCATCCGTCCATCCTCCCATCTACTCTCCATCCACCCACTCCCTCCACCTTGCTCATTTCAAAACCACACAGAGATGATCAAGTTCCTTGGAAGCTCTCAGGAGATTTTTGCTTCAAGAAGAAAACATCTTCAAAAATAACAAGATAATATTAACTGTGATTTATAGCCAATACCAGATTTTGGAAGTGATTTCTCCTTTTTTTCATTCACTGCCTAGTTATGAGATGTTATTGCCTGGTTTTTCTCCCTGAGCTTCCAACTGGAGATGGACCAGTGCTTTCAACCCTGTAACTTGCCTAGCAGTCTCCAACTTCACATCCTCTGCCCATCAAACTAGACCTTGACCCAAGTGGGCCTGAAGCACACGCATCTCTTCGCACCTTCCAGTGTTCTGTCTTTAAAGGCAGTCGCACATCAGATCTTGGGTTCTGTTCCTTTCAAGTCAGTCCTGAACAGCTCCTGGGCCTGTCTTCTGCCCTGGGCTTTGGCTTTAGCTCTCTGGAAATGCCTCTCTTCTATCCCTACTTATCTGTGCAGCTCTGTTTCTTGGTTATTCGTGACTTTTCTCCTTGTCCCTGGGAGGGTTCCTGGGGTAGATGTGGTGCGCACTTGGGCTTACAGGAATATACGACTGAAAATATCTTTAACACCATCCCCTCAGCAAACCCTCCCTGACCTCCAATCTGCTAACCCCCATCTTTACTTCCCATAAATAATTATTTTATTTTCCGATCAGTATCTCACAAAATACAGCAAGTTCCTCAAGGACTCAGTGGAATTAATGGCTAATCTCCATAGCTCTGAATAGCGTGGTATAGTTTCCTGTTCTTGCCAATATTTGTTTGCTGATGGAATGTAATTTATCTTAACCACATGTGAGCAGATACGGGGTTTTGAAACTAAGTTTTAAAAGACATGATGGTACAGGATTTACATTATGCGTGTGCAGGTGTGTGTGCCTGCTTTGGGAGACCAGAAGAGGCTGTCACGTGTCCTCTAACAGTTTCTGCCTGTTCCCTTTAGATATGTCTCTTACAGAGAGACCATTGGCTGGTTGGCAGCAGTAACCCAGTGACCTCTGTCTCCATTCACTTCTCCCCAGGGCTCTTCCCTCGGGATACAGGCATGTGACAGTGCCTGGGTCTTTAGGTGGGTGCTGAGAATTCAAACTCAGACCCTCGTGTTTGCTCTAGAACTGGAGTTACAGACAGTTGTGAGGCGCCACGTGGGTGGTGGGCTCAAATCTGGGTCAGCATTCTGCACCCCATGCCACCTCTCCAGATCCACTGTAGGATCGACCCCTGGTCAGACACAGCGGGGTATGAGCAGGGCGGTGTGTCTGAGAACTGTTCTGACAAGCGCTGATGTCTCTCTGTGTCTTTTAGAAAAGCAGCTAAGTATTCCTTTCCCGCCCAGAAGTGGGAAACCTCAGAGAGTGGCAGCTCACATTACCGGAATCAGTCGGAAAAGCAGTTCAGCCTTAGCTCCGAGTAAGATCACGAGGGCGGGAACAGGGGGTGGGGCTGGCAGAGGGTGGGGCTGGGGCTGGGGCTGGGGCTGGGGTTGGGGCTGGGGCTGGGGTTGGGGTTGGTAGCGGGAGTGGGGGCGTGAATGACACTCTGGAATTGTTCCAAGTAGTTTATTTTTAATTTTTATCTGAAATATTTCTATGACAAAAGTGCCCAACAATGATCAAGTATCGGATGACTCTTTTGAGAAACAAAATGACACGCAAGGAGCTTGGTAACTCTCCGGGCATGGTGGTCTTAGGAAAAGTGTACGTGAGAGAACGTTGCTCTCAGACTCCCATTGAGCCACCTTTCCTGCTGCCTTTGCTGCCTCTTGAGCTCCCCTTCCCCCACTACTCTTTTCTTTCTCTTCTTTTGCTGAAACAGTGAGCCTAGGCTGGTTTTGAACTCCAGATCCTTCTGTCTCAGGTCCCCAAGGGCTGGGATGGCAGGCACCACCACACCCAAGCTTTTTTCTTCATCTTTAAAGTAATCTCTCTCTCTCTCTCTCTCTCTCTCTCTCTCTCTCTCTCTCTCTCTCTCTCTCTCTCTCTCTCTCTCTCTCTCTCTCTGTGTGGCGTCTATTTGTATCAACCCTTTCTTCTCGTCAAAAGGTCACATGCACAGCATTTATTTTCACCCAAGACACTAGTATCTCCCACCACTTTTGAACCACAGGAATGTCAAGCTTTGGTGTGTGTGTGTGGGGGGGTGTGTGGCATAGCTGACAAATGAGGTACTGAAAAGAGAGGCAATTACAGCAGGTCAAAATGACAGAGGGGCCTCCCAGGTTCATGTGATTACAAAAGCCTTTGTAATCCACATCAGACTGAGAGGTTGAGAAGTTGGATTTGGATCGACATTGAGTGTGTAAGCTCAATGAGCATGCTGACTGTGCTGAGCAGCTGGGGTAGTTCCTTACTGTGATGCAAACTTCCTCCTGCTGTTTCTCTCCTTTTCATGTAGTGTCCAAGGATGGAAAGACCTTGGGCCAGAAGATAGAATCCTGGGAGTCATCTAGGAAAGGGCATTCGTTCCTCAACTATGTGCTTTTGAGAAATGGAGAGCTGGTCATCCAGGAACAGGGCCTTTACTACATCTATTCCCAGACGTACTTCCGGTTTCGAGAGAATGAAGAGGGTTCCAAGACGGTCTCAAAGGATAGAGGCCAAAACAAGCAAATGGTACAGTACATCTACAAATACACCAGCTATCCAGACCCCATCATGCTGATGAAGAGTGCCAGGAACAGCTGCTGGTCCAGAGATGCAGAGTATGGACTCTATTCCATCTACCAAGGGGGACTGTTTGAGCTGAAGGAAAATGACAGGATCTTTGTTTCTGTGACAAATGAGCATTTGATGGACTTGGACCAAGAAGCCAGCTTTTTTGGAGCCTTTTTAATTAACTGAATGATATACAAAAATCAGACAGAGTCTAAAATGCCCAGTCATCAAGGGTGATGACTCTGGGTACATGGTGTCTCCAGATACTATGAGAAGTTCATGCTCCATGCTCCTGCTGTCTGTGAAGGGCAAAGAAGCTACTTCTGCAGTGGTATTGATGACTGCAGAATTACAGTTGAGTAAGAGGGACATGGAGGGTTTCTGTGACAATTTGTATCACTATCCCCACCATCCAAAAATACTGACAGCCTAGACAGGAAGCCAGCCCTTGAAGAGAGCTATTAAAAATTGTGATAAGGATGCTGACGTATAGCTCACCAAAACTGATGGCTACTGTGGCGGTGTGGGTGGAGAAGGACTCCGTTTTCTTGAAGGGATTGACCCTGGGAGTTTTATCATACTCCAATGAGTATATGGGCTACACAAATTGGACTTGGGGGGTTCACAAGATTGGGGGGCCTGGGAGGACTGGGAAATGAGTATGATAGGGTTATGATTTTCCAAATGGTCAATGAAAATATTATGTTGAAAAAAATCACAGAATCCCTCACCTAGAACATTAGGAGATTGTGTGTGTGTGTGTGTGTGTATGTGTGTGTGTGTGTGTGTAAAACTGTTTTTTTAATGGTAACTTAGTATGAGGTTCTCAAGTGTGAACCCTGTGTAAACAACATTGTGTCCCATCGTCATACAAAATAGATGTGTTTATGATCTCAAAACCCACTCACAGGTTGAACACCTCTGAAAAGTAATGTATGGCTCAACAAAATGTCTTCACCCAATGTGGTCCACAGAAGCCAACAGTTTGGATACCCCCAATTCTAGTCTTTCAGAAATTTTCAAATGAAAGACCATGGACACATTCTTTATTATAAAATTGTTTTTTTTTAATATTTTGAGATTATAATCATATCATTTCCTCCTTCTCAATCCTTCCAATATACACTTTCTTGCTTTTTTTCAAATTCATAGTCTCTTCTTCCATTAATTGCTGTTACTACACACACACACACACACACACACACACACACACACACACACACACACCTCTCTCAGTCTGTTTAACATTACTTGTTCAGGGCTGACCTAAACAAGAACAGCAATGGAGAATTTAACGTGGACGTGGAAAGCCCAGGAGGCCTTAACTCTACACTACGAGCAACTAAGGGATGCTGAAGCCGGAGAAATAGAACACCACGGTTGACTCCATTCTTGAGAAACATCAGAACAACAGTGTGGACCGACCTCCAGGTATAGCTTCATACAGCCTTGCTGACAGTGAAGGTTCCTCTTTATCTTGAAGATTAATAAAGCACACTCCTGCGTGTGTCTCATGGGGGCATTTCTGGAGAGGATTAGGTCTTGAGGATTTGTTTACTACACAGACTCAAAATTTGAATAGCCTGTTGGGAGGTACTTAAACTATGGAAGATGGACCTAGTTGGAACAAGTTGGCCATTGGAGGGATGTCCTTGAAGATGCAGCTTGCTCAAAAAACATATGAAAACTCCAAGCAATTAATGAGGACAGCCCAAGAAAAAGGCCAGTGAAGCCATTGAAACAGGGCTGCCCAAGCCTGCTGGAGCTCAGAATCTGCCATCACATGCCCTGGCTGCCAGATGTAGGTTTAGAGGAGGGTTGCTCCATTGGTTTCAGTCATATTTTAGAGCCTCTCCCCTTGATATATTTCCAGTTCTCCTTTGCTTGCTCATTTATTTTGAGAAAGTGTATTCCAGGCTGGACTCAAACCAGCATGTAGAGTGTGATCTTTAACTGTGTAACTTCTTGCTTCTAGGATATGCTAAGGTTGTAGGCACAGGTCACCCTGCCTGGTTTATGCAGAGCTGGTCTTTTTGTAGGCCCTGAAACTGAAGGGAACAGGCTAAAGCACCTTGACTGGAGTGCTGCCATTTTAACTTCAGACTCCATTTTACCTGCAGGGTGAAATAAAGTTCAGGTTCCCCAAGCCCTAGGGAAGCTGAGAACTTCCCAGTGGCTGATCAACCTTCTCCCTAAACATAGAAATAAGGCCTAGTCCCTGGCAGGGGCCATTAGAAACCTGTCATGGCAAGATTTCCTGAGTAAATTGAGAGAGTGGGGAGTAGAGGGGTGGAAAGGGGAGAAGGGAAGGAGGAGAACTTAAGGGAAGGACAGAGAGGGAGAACAGGGAAAGAGATATCTTGATAGAGGGAGCTGTTATGGGGTTAACAAGAAACCTGGTACTAAGGACATTCCCAGGAATCCACAAGAATGAACCCCCTAAAACTCCAAGCAATGATGGAGAGGGTGTCTGAACTGGCCTTCCTCTGTAATCAGATTGATGGCCACCTGAATTATCATCGAACCTTCATCCAGTAACTGATGGAAACAGATGCAGAGGTTCACAACTAACCACTGGACCAAGCTTCCAGAGTCCAGTTGAAGAGATGGAGGAGTGATAATATGAACAAAGGGATCAAACCCATGACGGGGAAACCCACAGAAACAGCTGACCTGAGCAAGTGGGAGATCACTGACAGCTGGGGGACCTGCATAGCGCCGAAATAGACCCTCTGAATGTGGGTGACTATTTATGAGGCTGCTGGCAGTGGGACCAGGATTTATCCCTAGCATGTGAACTGGCTTTTTGAAGCCCATTCCTTATGGAGAGATACCTTGATCAGCCTAGATACAGTGTGTGTGTGGGGGGGGGGGCGTCTAGGTCCTGCCTCAATGTGATGTGACAGGCTTTGTTGACTCACCTTCTCTGAGCAGTGAATGGGTGGGGGCAGGGGGAAGGTGGTGGGGAGTGGGAAGAGGGGAGGGAAGGGGAACTGGGATTGGTATGTAAAATAAAAGAAAAAAGATTGTTTCAAAAAAAAAGAAAAAATAAAAGAAACATGTCTTGGCTCCGATATGGCTCCCTGGTCCTCTCGCTTTTATGTTGCATTTGTTTAACTCTGTAAAGCTGTGTTATGTGTCTGCCTAACACCTGAATGGTCTAATAAAGAGCTGAGTGGCCAATAGCTGGTCAGGAGAGGGATGGGCAGAGAGAACAATTATGAGAAGAGAGAGGAGCAAGAAAAGGAGGAGGAGAAGAGGACACCAAGGCTAGCCACCAAGCCACCCTGCCACAAAGCCAGCCATGGAGTAAGAAGGAAAGGAAGACATATAGAATAAAGAAAGGTAAAAAGCCCAGAGGCGGGGGCTGGAGAGATGGCTCAGAGGTTAAGAGCACCGACTGCTCTTCCAGAGGTCCTGAGTTCAATTCCCAGCAACCACATGGTGGCTCACAACCATCCATAATGAGATCTGGTGCCCTCTTCTGGTGTGCAGACATACATGGAGGCAGGATGTTGTATTAATAAATAAATAAAATCTTAAAAAAAAAAAGCCCAGAGGCACAATGTAGTTAAAGAGAAACAGGATAATTTAAGTTAGAAAAGCTGGCTAGAAACAAACCAAGCTAAGGCCAGGCATGCATAAGTAAGAATAAGTCCCTATGTGTTTATTTGGGTAGACCCCCAAAGAGTATAAAAACAAAAACAAGAGCAAAACAACTACATTCAGATAAGAGTTTGTTGAGTCTCAGGAGCGAGTTTAAACTAGTTTCAACATGCTTGCACTGTCCAGAGAGGCAGCCACCATCAGTCCTCTGGCTCTTGCATCTTCTACCCCCTCTTCCAACATGTTTCCAGAACCTAAGCTGTAGGGACGTGTTACAGATAGTCTTTTTAGGATGTCTGAGCTGTAGGGGCGTGTTACAGATAGTCTTTTTAGGATGTCTGAGCTGTAGGGGCGTGTTACAGGTAGTCTTTTTAGGATGTCTGAGCTGTAGGGGCGTGTTACAGATAGTCTTTTTAGGATGTCTGAGCTGTAGGGGCGTGTTACAGGTAGTCTTTTTAGGATGTCTGAGCTGTAGGGACGTGTTACAGATAGTCTTTTTAGGATGTCTGAGCTGTAGGGACGTGTTACAGATAGTCTTTTTAGGATGTCTGAGCTGTAGGGACGTGTTACAGATAGTCTTTTTAGGATGTCTGAGCCTGGAGTTTCATTACAGCAACACAAAACTGACTAAACCAAACAACAGAGAACTAAAACCCCTGAACTAACCCCCCTTATGGCGTGTTTTAATGAAACAGGGATTTTTTGTTTGTTTGTTTTTAGTCCTGTTTGGATGCTGGAGAGATGACTCTGATGTAAAGAGCACTGGTTGCTCTTCCAGAGGACCCAGGTTTAATTCCCAGCAACCACATGATAGCTAACAACACTGACTCCAGTTCCAGTATGAATTTAATGTTATGCATAGTTGTCACTTCTGACAGCTTTTTTCCCCATGACTCCAGTCAAGCCCTTACTAACCAGTGAATGGATTTCACGCCTACCATTTTAAAGTTTGCCTCCTCTCACTAGAGTATAAGCACTGTAAAAGCAAAACACATTCAGCCTACAATTCTACTCCAGTACTTAGTATTGTATGAAATGAGTGTCTCCATTAAATGTATTAATGTATGAACTGATAAATTAATAATAGCATGAATAAGTTGCCATATAGAGAAAGCTAATGAGAAATAATAATGGAGAAAATCTGAAAACTTAAGGTGGAAGGTAAAGGCACTTGTCAAAAAAGCTGACAACCTGAGTGTGGTCCCTGCGACTTACAGAGTGGACAGGGAGACCCCACTCTTACAAGTTGTCCTCTGCCCTCCACACGTTCAGTAGCACAAGCATGCACACACACACACACACACACACACACACACACACACACACACACACACACTATTTGAAAGTAGAAGGAAGAGAATAGAGGGCGAGGAAAGATGGGGGAAAGAAGAACAGGAAAGGAGGAAATGATAAGGTGCACTTCCTCTCAAATACCAAGTCAGACTTAGCAATATGTATGAAAGCAGAAAAAGGGCTGTTTGGCAGGGAGAAAGGGGCCCAGTGAGAGGAGGGGACAGGGACAGGAAAGTGGAGAGCTCTGAACAATGATCTGTATGAAGGTGTCATAAGAAGTCCATTACTTTGCACATTAACTAAAAACACTGACAATAAAATAAGCAGGACAGACAAAAATGGTTTAAAAGAGTAAAAACATTGCACACTGTGTATTGAATGACTAGATCATGGCATCTTACCACCAGATAGCTTTCTGTCATCTGTCACTACAAACCAAATGACAATGAACTTCTTTGTCATTGGTTCTTATGCTTTGAGTCCTAAATTGGGATTACAGAGCCAATTTAACTTTGGGAGGAGGCAGGGCTAAGGTCTAACTCAGGGTCTTGCTTCCAGTAGACATGTGCCCAATACTGAGTGATACCCCCACTTTAACGTTTTAGGTGGCAGAAACAACTGAGCACTATTCCAGTTCCTGGTCCCCCAGTCTCCACCACAGGAAACTTCGCAGCATTCCGTCTTGTTTGCCAGACTGGCAAGTGAAACTGTCTGATTTCTAATTTTTGTGTTGAACACAGACATTCTTTGTTTGCTATTTCCATATGGTTCACAAGGCACAGTCCCCAGTGTCACTCCTCTGAGAATGGCCCCGGGGGAGCATTTTACAGTGCTCGTGCCTGGGTTCAACTACAAACCAAGAGGATCAGAATTTTGGAGTGCCCAGGGACTGTTTTGTGTGTGCATTTTAATTTCCTCAAGTAATTAGCAGGAAGCCTGCAGGACGCCTGTTTACCAAAATGTCAAACACTATGATTTAGAAATTAAATATTTAAAAAAGCAACATACCCAGACACTCATGATTAGATGTTCAAAGATTTAATCAGTGCACAACATTAAACTCTATAACTTGTCTAAAGAAGCCTACATAGTCTTTCCTCTGCTAAAATGAAAGGCACAGGAAGAAACGGTGGAGACAGTATTCCAGAATGATGACTTTCTGGACAGTTGTGAG